CCGGCCTTTGGTTTTTCTGTTGTTTACTTGGTGTTCTCTTTAGTTCTGACACAGAAGTTTGCACAATTCCTTCTTTATAGATGAAGGTAAAGAAGTTCACACAATGCTAGGCCAGGCGCGATGGCTAACGCCTGTAATCCCAGCATTTTGGGAGGCCAAGGCAGGCAGATCACGAGGCCAAGAGATCGAGACCATCCTGGCCAACATGGTGAAACCCCGTCTCTACTAAAAATACAAAAATTAGCTGGGTGTGGTGGTGCACACCTTTAGTCCCAGCTACTTGGGAGGCTGAGGCAGGAGAATTGCTTGAACCCAGGAGGCGGAGATTGCAGTGAGCTGAGATCGCGCTACTGCACTCCAGCCTGGCGTCTGGTGATGGAGTAAGACACTGTCTCAAAAAAAAAAAGAAGTTCACACAATCCCTCTTTTATAGATGAAGAAACCAAGGCTTTGTAACTAACTCAACCCCGCAAGGAGGACAAAACTGGCACCAGAGCACCTTACTCCTGGATCTGGGAAGAATGCCTCTTGTTTGCTGAGAAGTCCACATATTTATCCAGCGCAAGAGTGGGAGATGAAAGGCGACCAGGTCAGTGCTAGCCTTTCTCTGAGCTCCTCTGAGTCTGGGCAGCTGAGGTGCTCCTCCGGGAATGTTCTGCCGTCCACGAGGCAGTGCAGGCCTGGAAGCTTTTGTTCCATTGAACTCTGCCAGGGAGCTATACTTAGCCACGCGAGTGGAGGCCAGGAGTGGGTTCTCTGAATATAGATAGTAGCAAAGCAGACTATTTTCAAACACTGAGAACCTCCCCGATTGTTCTGGGCCAAAATGATATTTATAGAATGCTCTGGGCTCCTGGACTCAAAGGCAATAACCTTAGTGCCTTTTGGCGTTCAGGAGAGAAGCTCCTTTCAACAGGGAGTGGGGTGAGGGATCTGCTCACCCAGAGGCCCGCCGTCCCTCAACACCTGTTTCCAGGAGGCCAGGCGTCCTCCTTACTTTTCCATTATGAATCAGAGAACAGCGAGAGGCACGCGGTGCCCTGCTGATTTTCCTTCCTGCACACCCTGGTGTGGGTCCTGTCTGAGGCCTGCCGTGTGCTATCAGGGAAGACGTCATCAGGGGACTTTTCCTGCTGTGAGGAGGGTGCAGCCCCTGCCTTTCAGAGCTCGGGACACCCTCTTACTCCTGTCCAGGATCCTCAGAGATGTCCTAGGCTTCCACTCTCAGCCAGACGTCACTGGGCCATAAGGAAACACCTACTTCCAATGTGCTCAGGTCCTGCAGCCTCCTGTCCGTCCTTGCCCCACCTCCCACCCGGGAGAAAGACTGACAGTGTACCTGGAAGAGTTTGCTGGAAAGGCCTTCCCTAGGGAGGAGAGTGGAAATGGGAGCAGTGAAGGTTAGGGTGGGAAGAGTAGGCCTGGGCCCTGGGAGGGGGAGCTGGCCAGGCCCCAAGCCCCCGACAGCTGTGAGCAAAGCCGAGACACCCCCTTCCTGGTGCTCAAGCTGCAGGTGTTGGAGCGGGCCCCAGAAGCCCGGATTTTAAGTGACCGCCACAGGTTAACCTGAGGATGGTGAGGCAGAACAAGGAGAGGCCAGGCGGGAAGCAGGGCAGGGCAGGGCTAGTGGGCAGTGTCCAGGGGTGTCCTGGGTGGGGCAGGCCGCCCACACTGCCTCTGCCTTGGGCTGGACCTAAGCGGAGTGGATCTTCCATTCATTACACCCCAGCCCCCCGGCGTGTGCCCTGCCTTTCCTCTGCCTCTCTCTCTGCCAACCCATCCTCTCCCTCCCAGCCCCTGCCTGCCCAGATATAAATATAAGAGCATTTTCCATGGGCTGATACAGAAGGGAAAACATTCAGCCTTATTTTCGGCTTGTGAAATTCCTGTCCTTCATTCCCAACAGGTGCAACAGCCTCATTTAGATATTGGGGCCCAGAAATAGAACACAATTTACAATATAGCTTCCTTTAGGCATCTGGATGCTACTTGAGAAAAAAGCACTCCTGAGACATGCCGAGACAGCGCAAACCTTGGCTGGCGCTCTTGCCTTTTTCCAGGCTGGTGGAGCCCCTCAGAGCTGGCAGCCTGACCGTGAAGCAGAGGAGGCCAGAGCTGCAGGAGATGGGAGGGAGGGAGGGGGCCCTGGAGGACGGGCTCCTAGCCCCACTCCTCCTCAAGGCCTGGGCGCTGGCCTGTCCCCTGCCTTTGTCCTGATGGGGATGAGGGAGAGGAGATTGGGTCAGGGAGCAATTGTGGCTGTTGGGGAAGGTGACTTGGACGCAACGTTTGAAGGAGATGCTGTTAGTAAATCCCATTGGTTAAGATCCACTGTCCCCCATGATCCTTCGTATTTGTGTGTGTGTGTGTGTTTTGCACAGGGTCTCGGTCTGTTGCCCGGGCTGGAGTGCAGTGGTATGATCTTGGCTCGCTGCATCCTCCACCTCCTGGGCACAAGCAGCCCTCCTGCGTCAGCCTCCTGATTAGCTCATACTACAGGCGTGTGCCACCAGACCCAGCTAATTTTGTTGTATTGTTAGTAGAGACAGAGTTTTGCCATGTTGCTCAGGCTGGTCTCAAACTCCTGGGCTCAAGTGATCTGCCTGCCTTGGCCTCCCACAGTGCTGGGATTATAGGTGTGAACCCCCGCCCCCCACCCTCGTGATGGACTGAGGGAAAAAGGAGAGGGTGAGGAGCCCCTCTCCTCAGCACTGAATGCAAGTACCCTCAAGGCAGCTCTTGGCAAAGCCCTGTGTTCCCATTGGCTGTTGAGGTTGAGTGGTGTCCCCCAACTTCCGTGTGTTAAAGTTCTAATTCTCAGGACCTCCGAACCTGACCATACTTGGAAATAGAGTCTTTGCAGATGTGATGAGTTGAGATAGGGGCTTACAGGAGCAGGGCAGTATGACTGCATCCTCATAAGAAGAGGGGACACAGAAACAGACACAGGGAGACACCACCAGAAGCCAAAGCTCACTAGCAACTTCCAAAGCTTCCAGGAAGCCTGGAGCAGTCCCGCGCCCCAAAGGAACCAGGCCTGCCACAGGTGCAGTTGGACCTGCAGCATCCAGCCTCCAGAACGGGGGGAGGACAAGACACTGTTGTTTCAGCCACTCAGGTTGGGGTCCTTTGTTACGGGAGCAGAGTGGGTGCTTCCCGCCAGGGACAGCCAATCCCTGCAGGGGAGGCAGTGGTCCCCATCCAGCAACGTGACAGAGGCTTTCTCAGAGAGCGTCTTCATTCCGCCAGTTCACCTGGAAGCCGGTAGCGGCTGGAGCTTAGAGGAGCCCAAGGTCTAGGTCAGGTTTCCTCTGGATGTACTAGGGCCCGTCAACACCACGTCAGCGTTAGCCAGGCTGGTCTGCAGGTGAGGATGGCCCAGGATGGAATGGAGCAGCCGAGTAACGCGGTGCCCAGTGTGTGCTCCCTGTGAGTCCTCCTGAATATTCCCATGGACGGACGGATGGACAGCAGGCTCAGTGGGCTCAGGGGATCGAGGGGAGCCCTTGCTGCTCTCCATGTGGCTCCATCCCAGGACCAGGATGAAGAAGTCTGCCTAGGGCCAGAAGCAGAGCAGCTCACAGCAGGCCAGCCCTCCTGAGGAACAGGTGTCCTGTCCCAGAAACCTCCCTCCCACCATCCTTATCAGCGAAGGTGTCAGGGACTGGGAGGGGCCTCCTTGCTGCTTCCTGGATGCCCCCTGGGGTTGAGCTGGAGAGGTGGAGACGTGCTGAGGAGGACCAGCCCAGTGGGCGGCCGCCCAGCAGTTCAGCTGTGAGAAGAGGCCACGTGTAAGAAGGAAATGCCATCACCACACTGGACAATGGGAGCAGAACTCCAGGGAGGGGGTCTTACCTGTAGGCAGCCTTGCGGATTTGACAGTGTCTCAGCAGAGCAGGGCACTGGTCTGGGACTCTGGTTCACAGCTGTCCCCAGCACGTAGGGAAAGCTGCCCCAGGTACCATGGGTGGACAGAAGCACAGACCCTCCACAAGATGGCAGTGATCATGTCAGACCCTAGTAGCACTTGAGGGCTGCAGCAGGAGCCCCGAGTCCCATCTTCTGACCAGGCAGCCAGGAGGACTTGCTGCCCCTGCACCCAGCCGCCTGCTGCCTGCCCAGCTTTGGTCTCCGTCTAGTGCCCCAAGAGAGCCCTCTTCCTAGCCCGGATAGAACCTCTCAGCCGTTCCTCTGTGCCATGGATGCTTTCCCACTTCTGCGTGGTTTCCACCCGTTACGGTGCCCCTGCTCTCCGGATGGCAGTGTCCCCACCTCTCAGAAGAGTGTTTCACAGTGGCAGGCTCTGACCTACTCAGTCTCCCACCTACTCAGTGGCTAAACGGCCCAGGCGATCCCCGAATCCTGCTACCTCGAGGAATTTCTCGGAGTCCCACGTCCTCCACAGAACCAGAGGATTGGGCAAGACTCAAAGCTTTGAATAATGGAACAAGCAGGTGTGCAGAGACCTTTTATTACCCCACGGCTGTTCTTGCCTGGGAAGCTGAGTGCCCTGAGGCTCTGAGCAGGACAAATCCCAGAGGCACAGGTCCAGGGCATTCCACCTCATCCCAACGCACCCAGACCACCAATCGCGGGCTCTTCCAGTCCTGCTCGATCTTCAAGAGAGTCTAGTGAGGTGGGGAGGGCACGTGTGTGTAGGTGTGTGACACGGGACAGCTTGTCCAGACCCCACACCAAAGTCTGGTGGGGGCCAGCTGGGAGGTAGTTGTGCCTTCTGAGGATGGACCGCACAGCTGTGCCCACCACAAGTCAGAACTGTTCATTTCTGCTGCAAGGGAAGGAGGCAGCCTCTCGAGTCAGCTGGCGGCACTGCCAACCCATGCAGGTGACCACCCCCACAGGCCCTGACTCTCGGAAGGCAGACCCAGAGACGTGACCACGATGCAGGCCTCTGGCAGCTGTTTCTGGCCAGTGAAAGGCAGGTGGTTGGGGGGGGGTGGCCCCGTCCAGCGGAATCCAGAGCAGGGGTCACGATGCAGTGGAAACCGGGCTCTTGTTCTGATTAAAGTCTTCCCTGGGAGAGGAGTCTCCTCTGAGTGGGGCTCAGTGGAGTGGGCTGCGTGGATATGTTCTCCGCCCCAGTGGCCCCTGCTGGACTTCTTTGGTTCTGATTGGACACAGATGTGGCGGATGCACCAGGTGTGAGGCTGAGCCCTGTCCTCCCAGACTCGCGGCTCCTCTGGCGGCAGGAGGGACACCATCTCTCAGGGTGAGGCCCATTCCTCCTACCTGCGCCAACCACGCGTCTCTCAGGGACCGGGGCAGCAGCCAGACTCCTCGTGCCGCGCCAGGAGGGACATGCGGGAGAAGGTCTTGGTGCAGCGCGAGCACTGGTACTTCTTGGTGTCAGAGTGCGTTTGCAGATGGGCCCGAAGGTTGGAACGGTCGGCAAAGGCCCTGCTGCAGTGCGAGCAGGCATAAGGCTTCTCCCCTGTGGGAGGAAGAAGGGGGTCAATGAGTGGCCCTCGGGGTGGTGACACCATGGAAGGGGGCTTGAAGGCTACAGCACCCACTCTGACCATCAGTGGATGATCCCATCCCTTCCCTACAAATGCTCACAGCCCGAGCACCCAAGGTTGAACTGTGTGGGGACCGGGTGGCACACCTGGGTGAGACCACACCGCCTGAAGCCCCTCCCAGGAGCACAGGAGCCACAGGCACTGGATCTGCCATTGTTGCTGCAATAGCCCTTCTGGGGGCCTTGGCCGCTGGGAGAGGATGGGGGAAGTCCTAGGGGCCTCTGGCAGCTGTTTCTGGCCAGTGAAAGGCAGGTGGTTGGCGGGGGGTGGCCCCGTCCAGCGGAATCCAGAGCAGGGGTGGAGCCATGGTCCTTGAGGGGGCAGCTTTTAGGGACCACCTCCTATCAGGACAACGGGAGATCTGGACAAAGGCCTGTTGGGATCTTTGTGCCCAACCCATGTAAAGGGAAGGGTGACTGGGAATCGTCTGTTCAGTCCTGTAGCCCCATAGAGTCCTAAAAGACCCCAGCCTATGGCCCCTGAGGGGCCCAGAGCACCTGCATTCCTGCTGGTGGGACACTGGGCATGCTCCTGGCCAGGCCAGCCTCCTGCAGGACCTCCCACACTCCTTAATCCCAGGCTGAGGGCACCAAGCCCCAACAGGCTACCACCTGGGTGTGGCCCGGGGTCCTTTGGCCTGGAAGGCAGGTGTTTAGGGGGTGTTCTCATCAAAGGGTTGGGAAAACCAGGGTGCATTTCTCAGAGCCCTGGAAAAAGCCTTCCCTCTGGCCTGTACTCAGGTGTGACTGAAGGTCCCAGTCACAAGAGTCATGACTTAAGGGCTAGGGAACCTCCAGTTAGGAAAAATGTCAACTAGAGCCGGGTGCAGTGTTCACGCCTGTAATCACAGCACTTTGGGAGGCCGAGACAGGTTGATCACGAGGTCAGGAGTTCAAAACCAGCCTGGCCAAGATGGTGAAACCCCATCTCTACTAAAAATACAAAAATTAGCCAGGCATGTTGGCAGGCACCTGTAATCCCAGCTACCCAGGAGGCTGAGGCAGAGAATTGCCTGAACCCAGGAGGCAGAGGTTGCAGTGTGCCGAGATTGTGCCACTGCCCTCTAGCTTGGGCAACAGAGTGAGACTCCATCTCAAAAGAAAAGAAGCGTGAACTAGTCGGGTGCAGTGGCTCACACCTGTAATCCCAGCACTTTGGGAGGCCAAGGCGGGAAGACAGATTGAGCCCAGGAGTTCAAGACCAGCCTGGGCAACACAGCAAAACCCTTGTCTCTACAAATAATTTAAAAACTGGCTGAGCATGGTGATGCACATCTGTTCTCCCAGCTACTCAGGTGGCTGAAGCAGGAGAATCACTTGAACTCAGGCAGTCAGAGCTCCAGCAAGCTGTGATCAAACCACTGCACTCCAGCCTGAGCAACAGAACCAGACCCCGTCTCAGACCACAAAGAAAATGTGTGAGCCTCTGGGCCTGATGTGGAGACTGGAGCTGATTCCTGGAGCTCGTTCTTCCTTTCTGTGTTTATTTTTTGCATGCTGAGGTTGACGGGAAGCCCTGGGTGGAGGACGCTGGCTGGCTCTTCGTCCACTTGTGTACTCTAAGGCATTATTTTGTTGATTTTATTTATTTTTTTGGAGACTGAGTCTCAGTCTGTCGCTCAGGCTGGAGTGCCGTGGCTACCATCTCTGCTCACTGCCATCTTTGCCTCCTGGGTTCAAGCATTTCTCCTGCTTCAGTCTCCCGAGTACCTGGGATTACAGGTGTCCACCACCACACCTGGCTACTTTTTGTATTTTTAGTAGAGCCAGGGTTTCACTATGTTGGCCAGGCTGGTGTTGAACTCATGACCTCAGGTGATCCACCTGCCTCAACCTCCCAAAGTGCTGGGATTATAGGTGTAAGCCATGGTGCCTGGCCATGTTTTGTTTTTTGTTTTGAGTTGGGGTCTTGCTCTGTTGCCCAGCCTGGAGTGCAGTGACATGACCACAGCTCACTGCAGCCTCAGTGAGAGGCACAGTGGCTTCAGTCATCCGTGAGCCACTGTGTCCCTCCTGGGCTTCAGTCATCCTCCTGCCTCAGCCTCCCAAGTAGCTGGGACTACCACCACGTGCCACCACACTTAGCTAAGTTTCTGTTTTTAGTAGAGATTGGGGTCTTGCTATGTTGGCCAGGCTGGTCCTGAACTCCTGGCCTTAAGTGATCCTCCTGCTTCAACTTCCCAAAATGCTGCCATTACAGGTGTGGCTCCCACACTGGCCCCTGCTAACACCTGGATTTTGGACTTCTGGCCTCTGATCTGTGGGACTTTGTATAGCAGCCCGGGGAGCAGATAAGTCAGGAGGCAGAAGCCAAATGTGAATCCAGTGCCAGTGTTTCTAAAATCACCCCTCCTCCTCTTAGGCCCAGCCCAGGCTGTCCATGTAGACCTCAGCCCACCCTACCTGTGTGGGTGCGGACGTGGCCCTGCAGCAGCCAGGGCCTGGAGAAGGCCTTGCCGCAGATCGTGCAGGCGCAGGGCAGCGTGTGGGTGCGGATGTGCATCTTGAGGGCGCCCAGGCTGGTGTACTCCTTGTCGCAGTACCTGCAGGTGAACACGCGCCCTGCCTGCAGGTGGCAGTGCAGCTGCTGGTGCCGGGCCAGCCCGGCCAGCGTGTGGTAGGGCTTGCGGCAGTGGAGGCACTCAAAGCCGCCTGGGGCTCGGGGCACCCGCTCAGCCCCAAGCAGTTTTTCTGGAGCCCCGTCCTGGTCTGGGCTCAGGATTGGGGACCACCGTGTGGGCAGCACCAGCAGTGGGGGCAGGTTGAGATGGTTCAGACTGTCTTTGAGGGGTACACTGGGGGCCCGGCTGGCCCGAGGGTCAACCCCACTGACTTCCAGAGCATCTGGTTCTGAGGCCCCCAGAGCTTCCTCGAGCTGTGGCAGGAGGGGCAGGGAGATGCAGGCGAAGGCCGAGGAGCGGTCCCAGGGCTGGGGAAGGTCACCAGGCACAGAAGGGGCCTCCTTGTCTTGGGGGAGAAGGGGCACCACTAGCCCCCGACAGGCAGAGCAGGCGCCATTGATTTCTAGAAGGGTAGAGGGGACATAAAATATAAAGATGAAGACCCACTGAGTGCCCAGCACTTGGTGTTTTCCAGTTCCGGTTCACGGCCCTGATCCCAGCCTATCGGCAGCCCGGCAGCGCAGGAGGAGTGGCGGGGAGCCAGAGTGCAGACCCAGCTTGCAAAGGAGCTGACGGTGCTGTGCAGGGAAGTGATGGCGTGGCCAGGAGCGCAGGCATCTAGAACTAAAAGGCCCCACGGTCTAGAGAGAATCTCACTTCCTCTTTAAATGCAAAGAAGAAAAACGTCTCATGGGACCCCTGGGGTTCAGGAACATGAAACAGACCTCATGGGACAAAGGAGGGCCCTTTAGGCCTCAGCTGGGTGGCACCTCCGATAAGCCCCCACCCACCTCTGGAGGGGCACCAGCCTGGCTCAGCATCCTCCAGGCGCCCACGAGGCAGCCATAAGTCAGACGCTTGGCAGTAAGGTGCCAGCTCAATATAAAATCTGCCCCCGCAAGTTGCCAGCTGAGTGTAAAATCCGCCCCCTCACAACTCATCATTCTCCAGTCACCCCACAGTCGCCCCTTGGGCATCCCCTTTTGTGGATAATGAGGCAGTGAGCTCAGAAGGCTCCCTGGAGCTGGCTCGTGCCCACTCTGCTGCTCTCTTAACACAGCTGAGCCACATGGCTGAGGTGCTCTGGCCGGGGCTTTCAGAATTACCCCTGGCTGGGCTCCTCCCCAGGATGGTCGTTCCTGTGTTTGGGGGCTGGTACACCGCACGCCACATGGTTGATGCATTTAAGGGCAGCAGCCCCCAAATAAACAGGTTAGTCTGCAGATAAGAGTTAAATTAATTCTGGATTTCCGCAGGCCAAACCCTCCCAACGGCCCTCAATCCCTTTCTTAGTCCGTATGTGTTAAAATAGATTTCTGGCGCTGTTTCTACCTCCACGCTGAGGCTTTGGGTAGAGAAACGCAACCCACGGAATAGGAGAAAATCTTTCCAAGTCAGACTTCTGATCAGGAATAGCATGTAGAATGCTAGAACATATTAAGGATTTTACTTGTCAACAATAAAAAGACATAATACAATTTTAATATGGGCAAACGATTTTTTTTTTTTTTTGAGATTGAGTCTTGCTCTGCCGCCAGGCTGGAGTGCAGTGGCACAATCTCGGCTCACGGCAACTTCCGCCTCCCAGATTCAATTGATTCTCCTGTCTCAGCCTCCCAAGTAGCTGGGATTACAGACATGCACCACCACACCTGGCTAATTTTTTTTTTTTTTTTTTTTTTGAGACAGTCTCTCACTGTCGCTCAGGCTGGAGTGCAGTGGCATGAACTCGGCTCATTGCAACCTGCAACCTCCACCTCCCAGGTTCAGATGATTCTACTGCTTCAGACTTCTCAGTAGCTGGACTACAGTTGTGTGCCACCACGCCTGGCTAATTTTTTTTTTTTCGAGACAGAGTCTTGCTGTGTCACCCAGGCTGGAGTGCTGTGGCACTATCTCAGCTCACTGCAACCTCTGCCTCCCAGGTTCAAGCGATTCTCCTGCCTCAGCCTCCTGATAGCTGGGATGACAGGCGCCCGCCACCATGTCCAGGTAATTTTTGTATTTTTAGTAGAGAGGGGGTTTTGCCACATTGGCCAGACTGATCTCGAACTCCTGGCCTCAAGTGATCTGCCCACCTTGGTGTCCCAAAGTGCTGAGCTTACAAGGCATGAGCTACTGTGCCCCGCCTGGGCAAGGGATTTGAATAGCTATTTCTCCAAAGGTGATACACAAATGGCCAATGAACACGTGCAAAGATGCTCAACACCATTATCTGCCAGGGAAGCACAAATCACAACCACAGTGAGATGCTCACACCCAGTAGGATTGAAAAAAATAGCCAATCACAAGCGCTGTGAGGATGAGGGAAATGGAATTCTGCTCCTCCTTCCTGACTTGACTGCCTCCCACCCTCAGTTCTCCTAGTTACAAAGTCACCAGGCTTCTGTCCACCCAGAAGTGGGGGCAATGACTGGATAAGAGGGAATATCCAAGGGAATTCTGCGAGACCGCACTGGGGAGCCCAGGGTTGCCCGGCTTTACTGGGGCCTCTGCAGGAGAAAGTCACCGTTTCTTGTCTCCATCTCTAAGACTTGGCAACCTTTCTGGCTCCAGGCACTGTCACAGAGCTGGGACCCTGTTTGTGGACCCAGTGGCTGAGCCGAGAGGCAAACGGGCCAAGAGACAGCCTCTCCCGGTCAGGCTGACCGTGTGCTTCTGCTGGGATTTTAAACGCTTTCCCCATACTCGCTGGGTTTTACTTGCTTTTTTATTCCTTCTGCTGTCCAGATCCTGAGGAGAAGAGACTGTTTTGTTCTGTTGTCAGATGGAGTCTCACTCTGTCTCCCAGGCTGGAGAGCAGTGGTGTGATCTTGGCTCACTGCAACCTCCGCCTCCCGGGTTGAAGTGATTCTCTTACCTCAGCCTCCCAAGTAGCTGGGATTACAGGCACCCGCCATGACACCTGGCTCACTTTTGTATTTCTAGTAGAGACGGGGTTTCTCCATGTTAGTCAGGCTGGTCTCGAACTCCTGACCTTAGGTGATCTGCCCGCCTCGGCCTCCCAGAGCGCTGGAATTACAGGCGTGAGCCACTGTGCCCTGACGAAGAGACTGTTAAGTATCCTGCTGGCTGCAGGGGTTCCCTGGGGAGCCATAGGAGCTACTTATTTAAAAGGAGAGATTGAGGAGCCCCAAACCCCAGCACCTCAGATGTATCCTGGGGTAACATCTGGGCAGAAAGTCACCAGGGCCCCCTGGCTATCAGAAAGCCAGGTGGCTGGGGCTGCAGTGAGGAGGGGAGCAGTGAGGAGAGGACCAGGGAATGCTGCGGGGCAGCAAGGCTGCTCACGACAGTCACCCTCTGGGCCCCACTCAGCTACCCAGGTTTGCACACTCGGATGGTGAGGTGCGTTCGCTGTATGGCTGCACCTTCAACAACACTTTGAAACTTGGGACTATGCCCCATGTAAATTCCGTTTTCCATCACGTCTGAACTCACATGTACATCCACATACACATAACAAGCCAGCGTCCCCTCCTGGGAGGACGGCACTCCAATAATTTCTGTTCTATTTTATTTTACAGAATTGCTGGTGGTGACTCACGAAACTGATTTCAAAACGTACATTTTGAAAGCACAGTCCTAGCTGGCACCCCCTGGTGGCAGCCTGGGCCTCGGGTGTGGATCCAGGTGGGACCCTCCTGCCCCCAACTCTGGTTCTGAGCAGGGATAAAGATCTGTTGGGGGTGTTTCTGGAGGCCCCAGTCCCATCAGTGCCCTTCCTGCCCTCTCCCCCCAGTCACAGAGCGTGAGTTCCAACTGCTGCGTCCACTGGGGCCCCTCAGTGGGCTTTGTCCCTAGCCAGAAGCTGCCAAGACAGGTGGGGATTGCTCTCACTGCCCATGTGGCAGGCTGTCCTCTGAAGGACAGAGTCCTCTCCTGTAGTGTCCCTGTGCCTAGCAGGCAGTGGGAATGAGTGGACATCCCGATTGCTGGGCACCCATCTCCCCAGCCCAGCCAGTGTGTAGAGGATTGCAGCGCCTTAGCCCAGCCTGTCCAGGCAAGCCTGCCGGCGTGAGCAAGAGGGCTTCTGGGGTGAGGGGAGGTTGCGGGAGGGAGGGAAGCCACGGGAGGAGGCTCACCTGAACGGAGGCAGGAGGGGCAGTGCGTCTGCAGCACAAAGAGCTCATGGGTCCCCCTTCTCCCCATCCCCTGTGCTTACCACCCCTGGTCAGCATGCTCCGCGGCTCCCTCAGCAGGGCAGTCCCAGACGGCCCTCCTTCCCTCCCACCACCCCGCAACCCCTCCCAAACCCGTGTGCCAGTAAGATGACCCCGGGGTCCCTTTCGCTGGGGCTGAAGTGGTGGGGACAGGAGGCCGTATATAAGGGGTGAATTCCAGGGAGACATGGGGGCTTAGAAAACTTCTCCAAGAGGGGAGAGAATCCGCCCGCCCTGCCAGAGGCAGGGCTCAGTTCCCTAAGCGGAGGCGCCCGTGGGCCACCTTACCTCCCTGCAGGCGCAGCCGCCGCGCAGAGGCGCTGGCTCCTTCCCCTCCCACCTGGGACAGGTGTCCCCACACCCCCCGCTCCCAGGGGCCTCTCTCTAGACCCGCAGGCTCTAGTCCCGTCAGGGGGTCGGCCAGCCGGTACCTCTCTGCGTCTCCAGCCGCCCGTAGTTGGGGACCCTGTGGCTGGAGTGCGTTTTCACCAGGAAGGAGCGCGGCATGGTCCCTCCCGGGCGGCGGGCTGGGGCGGGCTGGGGCGGGAGGGGCGCGCGCGGGTCGCCACTGCGGCGTCCGCGGCCCAGCCGCCGGGCCAGGGCAGGTGCGGAGGGGTCAGGCTTATTAGCATAGCGCGCCGCCTCCGCCAACCAGCGCCCGGCGCGAGCTGGGCGGGGCCCGTGGGCGGGGCTGAGGGCGGGGCGGGGCAGCAGCCGCGGGCGCCACGCCCAGGACAGGTGCGCGGGCGGGTCAGGGAGCGCGTGGCCGTCGGTGTCCTCCCCACGGGACTTCCCTGCCGCGCGCGCCGCCGAGTCACACACCGACCCCTCGGGCCTGGCCGCCCACTCGCCGTGAATTAAAGAGCAGAGTTCAAGGTTGAGTGGAAACCGAGCTGGGTTCCTGTCCACACAGCGTGGAAGCCCCAGCCGGCCGACCCCAGTCTTTGGGAACCCTTGCAGCGGCTCATGATGCCCTCTCCACGACTGCGCCTCCCCATCTCTTCTGCAAACCCACGCAGCAGGATTCATGGGCAGAACCCTGGAATTCCAAAGCTGACCCGACTGACCCGCCCCAGTGGCGGCCCAGGGTCGCTGCCCTGGAACCGGCCAGGGCCAGGGACGGGTGGCCTGGGGACGGTGGCCCTTCCGGGTGGGCTGCAGTCTCCCAAGGCTCCCCCGCTGGAGACAGGCCTTTAGGAGTTTGCCCAGTGCCTCCAGAAAACACTTTTTGAGGGGTGCGGGGGACATGGGACTCGGCCTGGAATTCTGGAATTCCCAAGGGGTCAGAACGGTTATGGGAAGTTTAATAAAACTGGCAAATCACATGAATTCTGCAACAGCTGCACATGTGACCTGGGCCAGCCGTTTCCCTCCTTTGTCATCTGCAGAAGTGCCATAAAGAGCTGGGAGCCCCTGTGTCCGGTGTCTGGGTCCCTTTTGATGTGGATGTTTCATAAGGTTGGGGGCCAGGTGGGGTGTCTCTGGGCTAGGGTGCACATAGGCGTGTCCATGGCCTTGCCGCAGGCCTGCCTCCCCACCAGGGCTTCCACCTGAGAGCTGGGTGCCCTTTGCCCTCTGTGGGCTGGGGGTGGGGAAGGTGGGGAGTGGTGAGTCCATGGAAGCACTGAGGGAGACAGCGGAGAGGAGGGGCGTCCCATATCCCATGTCCAGGGTGTGAGAAGCTGGAGTAGTATCAGCCCCGCTTTGCCAGTGAAAAAACCAAGGCTCTGAGAGTGGGCTCAGCAGCTCACGCCTGTAATCCCGACACTGTGGGAGGCTGACAGAGGAATGCTTGAGCCCAGGAGTTTGAGAGCAGCCTGAAAAACAAGATGAGACCCCATCTCTACAAAAAAAAAGTTTTTTTAATTAGCCAGAAGTGGCAGCACCCCTCTTCAGTCCCAGCTACTCAAGAGGCTGAGGAGGGAGGATGGCTTGTTGGAGTAGTCTCCAGAAGGTGGAGGCTGCAGGGAGCTGTGATCACCCCACTGCACTCCAGCCTGGGCAACAGAGACAGACGTTGTCTCAAAAAATTTTAAAAAAGAAAAAGAGAAAGAGAAGACCAAGGCTGTGAGAGGTTAGGACACAGTGGGATTGGGACCCATCCCCACTCCAGCTTGTCTGCCACTTGGCGAGGGGGAGTGGGAGGACAGGTGGGGGCGACCCTGGAAGAAGGTTCCCGCCTCTCCCGAAACCACGGCCTGGCACCACCCTGGTGGGAGTGTGGATTTCAGACACATGCCTGCCTTCTGCTTATTCACCTGTTCCTTGCCTTGAAAGGTTTCTATTTATAGCCTCCTTTCCTTCTCCCTCCCCCTCACAGACACAGATAACGCTTGCAGATACCTGAGCCAAGCCTCCACCCACACTGTCCCTCCCCGCCCACCTACCTATTGCGTGGCCATCCGCCAAGCCCCAGCAAGCTTATGTCCTAATCCAGCGAGAGCCGCGTGCTATCCAGGCAGCCGTAGCCTTCCCGTGGAGAACGGCTGATCTTACCCTGGGAACGCCCCAGAGGGTCTGAGGGCTCAGAGCACCTTTGGGGTCAGGTCCTAGGGATCCCCCAGCAACTCCCCCCAACCCCCGGCCAGGGACGCTTGAATCCGTTTCAGACTCACTCCAGCTGTGACGCACAGGGCAGTGTCCAGGCTGGACCCAAGGAGGCCCCACAGAGGGAACCTCAGCGTCTCCCTTCCCACTTGTGCTGCCTCGGGGAGGGAGGGCGGCCGTCTCCAGCCCTTCCTTGTCCTCCGGTCCTCGGTGCTGGCCGCTTGGCTCTGGGGGTTAACCTTACGTGCCCCTGTATGGGAACCCCTGGCCCACAGCCTGCTAGACCCGCCCTCCTGAACTGCAGCAGGCGATCCCAGCCCTCACCCTCTTCCCTGGACATCCAGGACCTCGGGATGATGACTTGTGCTGGGCCTGGCAGCCGGGCCCCTCCCATCTGCCTGCATCAGATGCCCAACAGCAGTTCTCCAGCGGGGAGCCCACCCCAGGAACTGCGGATCAGTTGACCGGCAAAAATGGTCACAGTTCCATTTACGTTGACATTTTCATCCCCTGCGTATGTCCTGCTTTTCTGGTTTCACAGTGGATGTAAATACATAGTGCCTGGAGATGTGCAAACGTGTATCCATCTGGGTATATGCCTCTGTCACTCTTGACTGCTTTTGCTTTTTAATTTAATTTAATTTTTTAATAGATGGGATTTCACCATGTTGGCCAGGCTGGTCTCAAACTCCTGACCTCAGGTGATTAGCCCATCTTGGCCTCCCCAAGTGCTGGGATGACAGGTGTGAGCCTTGTTTGTTTGTTTTGAGAGGGGATCTCACTCTATCACCCAGACTGGAGTGCAGTGGAGTGATCTTGGTGACCTCAGCTCACTGCAACCCCCACCTCCTGGGTTCAAGTGAGTCTCCTGCCTCAGCCTCCCAAGTAGCTGGGATTACAGGTGTGCACTACCACACACGGAGATTTCTTTTTTTTTTTTTTTTTTTTTTTTTTTTTTGAGACGGAGTTTTGCTCTTGTTACCCAGGCTGGAGTGCAATGGCGCGATCTCGGCTCACCGCAACCTCCGCCTCCCGGGTTCAGGCAATTCTCCTGCCCCAGCCTCCTGAGTAGCTGGGATTACAGGCACGCACCACCATGTCCAGCTAATTTTTTGTATTTTTAGTAGAGACGGGGTTTCACCATGTTGACCAGGATGGTCTCGATCTCTTGACCTCGTGATCCACCCGCCTCGGCCTCCCAAAGTGCTGGGATTACAGGCGTGAGCCACCGCGCCCTGCCCACACACGGAGATTTCTGTGGAGGTTTTTTTTTTTTTTTTTTTTTTTTTTTGAGAGTCTCGATCTTTTGCCAGACTGGAGTACAGTAGCACTATCTCAACTCACTGCAACCTCTAACTCCCTGGGTCAAATGATTCTCCTGCCTCAGCCTCCCGAGTAGCTGGGATTACAGGTGCCCACCATCACACTTGGCTAATTTTTGTATTTTCAGTAGAGACAGCCTTTCACCATGTTGGCCAAGCTGGTCTTGAACTCCTGACCTCAGCTGATCCATCCCCCTCAGCCTCCCAAAGTGCTGGGATTACAGGCGTGCACCACTGCTCCTGGCCTGAAGGGTGGTTGTTAAGCTGGGGTTCAGTGGACACGTTCTGTGTGGTATGGGGGTCCCAAGAGGCAGACATGCTTGTTGTCAGAGCCCCAGCTACACTGGCTTTCAGTGGCAGTGCCCGGTGGCTGGCAGCCCTGCACGCTTGGGAGACGAAGGGGATGGACATGGTATCTGCCATCTGCCTTTCACAGGATGTGTCTTTTGCCTGGCAAATGGCGTAATGCCTGGTTGTCTGACCTGCAACCATGAGTCCCTCCAGGAAACTTGCTCACACTGGCAGATGCCCTGCGGCTGTTGCCTGATTCGCGTCCAGGTTATACCTGCCTGACCATCGCTCTGGTGCTGGGAGCCTGCCCTGTGTCCCCCCGCGTCTCTGAGAAAACCCAGCCTGGGCAGCCCCTGGTTCTTCCTCGTGGAAGGTACAAATTCAGTCCCCACCACAATGGGAAACATGTTCAAAGACTTAGTACTCACACATCCTGGGCTGGGAGGGCGCCAGGAGTGGGGACGGCCATCGTCCGTCTCCAGATCTCACAGGCAGAAGTGAAGGTTTGGGCAGAGAGAAGAGGGCGTGTGGCAATGAGCCGTATGCACAGGGAATGGGAGTGGTCAGCGCAGGTTCACGGGCAAATGCCTGAATGGGCTTATGAAAGGAAGTGCAGGGAGTGCGAGAGCCCAGGCTCCTGGCAAGAGAGACGCCTCTAAGTGCTCATCTCTGGCAGCCAGCATGGACGCCTGGGCATGGTGTCCTGGTGCCCAGGCTGCAGGCTTGGCTGTGCTGCCCATTACAGCGGTCCCTACTGACACACGGACGCTGCAGGAGCAGATGCCTCAGCACAGGCCAGGGACAGCGACGGTGCTGAGTGGCCCTCAGACTAGGGGCAGATGAGGTGAGAATTGAACCATCAAGTAGCAAGGCAGTGTGCATGTGTGTCTGCAGGTCACAGGGGTGTTTGTGCGTGTGTCCATGGGCATATGCATGTGGGAAGTGGCAGCAGCTGCTCTGAGGTGGCATGGAGGCTGGGCATCAGCGGGTAAGCACCAGGTGCCAGGAGAGGGGTCTGCGGGGTCCCCAGCATTGTCCTGCAGAGTGGGATGCCTGCAGGTTCCTCCAGTGTGAGCCCTGCCACCTGCTCTCTGCCAGCGTCCTTTGAGCTTCCCACTTGCCATGTTAGAGCTGACACCTGCCTAGGAGGCAGGCAGTGGGGAGGCTGTGGGGCCGCTGGGCGGCTGCAGGGAAGGAGGAACTGGTGGCCCGCTGAGTGCATTCTGCCTCCCAGCCACAAGGAGGACAAATCCCACTGGGGAAGGGGCTGGAGCCGCACCACGCCTGGGATCTGGATGAGCGCTGTCCAGGGCTCCTGCGAACGGGGTGGGCCTGGGGCAGGGGGACCTGGGGTAGGGAACTTGGCGTCCCTTCCAGA